ATTAGCATAGGTTGTGGACCGGTGGGAATAGAAATGGAGAGGGAATCCCTGTGTTGTAAGGGAAGACGGGTGACAATGTAGTGCAACTGTAGACGGTGGGTCTAGCGATCGCGCCCGAGAACTGTATGTTCTGTCGTGTAGACAAGCTAGTGCGCCCTACTCGCATTGAATAACTGCAGGTAATCTTTCATGTCCTCCGACCTGCAGCTGCTTGCTGAGATTGACCGCCTTCCCTAGGCCATTCTACCCCAGCGGGTAAAGTCAAACGCTGGCAACTGCAATCTTCAGGCCCGGTTTTTGGGACAAAAAAAGTTATGGGAGGTCAGAGTGCTAGGAAAAGTTTATTCGGTACAGAAGGAAGCGGAAAATAGGCAAGAGGAAACTGACTGTCAAACGATCACACAACCGCAAGCCACTAGGTGGCGTCTGAAGTGATTTCTGTTCGACAGTCGTCACACGAGGACCTGTGTGAGTCGGCCTTTGATTGCCTGTTCCAGAAGCGGCTAGCGTTCCAGAAGTGCACTTCGACTTGAGCTAGTCATGACATGCGTTCACAAGTGCACTTCGTGTGGAATTAGTCACTACAAACCCTTATGATTGAATGAAATTTTTGTATTTGTTCATACCGGATGCTTTTCAGAGCAACAGCCAAACACTGCCCTGACGTGGACTTATAAAACGGTTTCTTTGGAATAATTTTGCAATAAATCGTTCAACTGCATTGATGAGATCGTTTACGGCTTCAGCAAAGATCGTTTCTAACAATATACTACCCTCGGATACGCTATCCGTTTAATGTTCTGAACCGGCATGATTTTGAATAAGGGACGTTTTTAACTCCCAGCTCTCCGGCTATGTAATGCTATATACTTTCCGTGTAAGGAAAATCATACATTCTTCTACGTTGTTATAGGAACGTCCTGTGGCACTCACAAACTACGAACAATGGTGTACACATCGTAAGCGGCATTACTAAATGGACAGGCCAAGCGTTTTACCAATAGAAAGTTCACAGATGAAATGAAGCTCGAAGGCTAAGCCTTTTTAAAACCAATCGATACCCCTTATTAAGAAATAAAATGCAGAGAAGATGACCTTTTCTATCAAATGCATACAAAAGGAATATTTTGTATGTGTGCATCCTACGAAATATATTTTCAATTGTAAGGACACTATAAACCAATGCGAACCATTTTTACCGAGTGTGTTGTGGGCAAACTGTCAAAGGAAAGCGCATTCAGCAGTCGTGTCTGAAATATCTTGCGAGTAGGCTGAAAGGTGATTAATATTTCAACCTGACTGAATTTATCCTTTCAAATCGAAAAAGACGTCTCCGAATTTCTGCTGGAAGTTCAACATATAGTCCAACTGCTGCATATGAAGCTCTATATTAAAAGATACCTATTAGCTCATCCGTCACAGATGACGAGAACTGTCACTGTCCTCGGGATGCGACTCACCAATAAATTGGATCTTGGTAACAGAAATCTTCGAGACAGCCACTTCCTTTCGCTTCCACCTTGTTGTGTTCTGATGGCAAGATATATAGAGGACAAGTGGAAAGGACTACGAGTTTACGCTGGTCCGACTAGTGACGCGTCTGCATGTATCACGCGCGCGCTGGTCACAAATCCACATGAGCGGGCTTCGCAAACTATTGCTCTGACCCCTTGTTGAAGGCATAGGTCCTAAATTCTGGTTGTGCTGTAACCATCGGCCATCTGAATTAAGACCAAGTTGTCCTCGTCAGTTGCCAACCTCGCTGTCATGACTAGCAGTACGTTCTGCTGGCTCCGAGCTACTTACGTTTGTTTCTGGCGTGAAAAGAAATCTCCGAGTCTCAGTTAGGTTGATTTCATTTCCTCTCCTCCCTCGTGTCAATGATAGAAACGGTTATAGTCGGCATTAGATTAATCTGACTGCTGTGGCGTAGGGCGTTGTTTAATTACTATTGAATTCTCATATATCACGCTTCTTGGGTTGTGACGATTTCGTTTTTGTGCAGGTTTGGATGTAAAAACAAAGCTCATTACGGTCGATGACAATCCAGTTCTCCTCCAACTTTGGGACACAGCTGGACAGGAAAGGTGAGTGCATTCATAAAAACGTGAATTCCAGTTTTCTGGACTGTGCTCTTTTTTTCCCAATACCCACAAAGACCTGACAAATCTTCAGAACATCAATTGTTAAAAAAAATTGATGGCATAAAAAGGTAACTGAGTTCTAAGAAGCTCACCATCTGCGGCCCTTGTTGCCTTGCATTTCTTAATGATGTAAAGTTCGTTCTTCTATTTATAAAATTCTGCAGATAGATTAAATCTATTCAAATCTATCTATCTAAATCTATTCAGACTCTTTAACCTAAATGCATGTATAGCTGTCTGCGCTTTGTCGGTAAGAGATGAGTTCTTCTACCCATCCGTCATATAGGCATAATAAATTTAATTAAAATGGAAGCTATATTCATTATTTACGCATACGATATAGACAAGAAATGCTCACATGTTCATTTCTGGCTTAATAGCCTTCGTCAGGACGAGTGCACTCCAGCCATGAGTGGCCA